GCCATCCATAAAGATTTTTGCCCATTTCTCTAACATCAGATACTTGTCCGATGACACCTTGAACAAGTATTCAATCATATTCTATCGCAATTCTAAGTTCAAGTCCTCTCAAGGAAGTTGACGTTGGGTCGATCCTTTGGATGATTACTTTACTTGAATTTATTTATGATTTCCAATGCACTCATACTTACCTTCATTTTAAGCGTAACAAATCGATTATAGTAACATGAAACTCCGATTTGAATCGATTGTTTGATGAGATCTTTGGTGAACAATTTTGATACTTCTTCATAGGATAGAACCTGCAATATCAAGTGATTAATACTTCTGGATTTTGAATATCATGAACAAATGTTTCATGAGATGTTTGCATTGTTCAAGGTTTATGTGCGCTGCTGCCATGCGATTTCATCGTTTCGATAGCCAATCGAAACAAAGCGTTAATTAATCCATATAATTACATTAGTTGAACTACTCTGTCATTACGGAAAAACGTGTGTATTCCAACTAGAAGTTGACATTATGAATAAATGCATTCAACAAGCCATTGGAATGAAACGAATCTATTGCAGACCTTATCACCAACTCGTGCTGGACTTTCGAACATCAGTTCAAACCATAACATTAGCCACATCCGCTTCGATTCAGCTATCTTGTCCGTATCCCAAATCAATGAAAGCTAAATCAATTTTACGTTACTCTGAATATTTATCACACAATTATACATGAAAATATCGCTCACAAAGAAATACCGTTGAATAAAAATGCCCTATTGAATGAACGCAATTTTCTGATTCTATAACAATTCAGTTTGTGAATATTGCATCAAATTCCACAAATAATTACGACCGAACTTCAGGATCTTTCAACAATTAGAGCAATTCGCATAAAACGATGAATGAATGAATGTATTGTTGTAAGACGAAACCACTTCAACCTCGACGAATTTAGTGGGTGAACGATGAATATAAGCCGTGAAGGGAAGTTTTTGAATGAGAGGAATATCGCTGAACGGTCGTTTTTGATTACATTTCGTCGATATGTCGAATGTGTTGAACTTCTCCAATTCATCAACGATCAGCTCATCCAACACCTCTGCTGACGGTTTCAACGCCTAAATTTATTCATCCTCAATCTTATTCACCTCCCTTCATCAATATCGAAAACTTTAAAAAATTCCATCAATCTTTCTAAACTCAATCAGTTAATTTTTAAATGAGAACTACTGGCAAATACGTAATATGAAACTCAACTTCCATTTCATGAACTGAACAACTGAATTGAAAATTCTGGAAAAAAATTACTATACCGTATTCTTATCGATCGCCTCTTGTAGGATTTCCTCACATTTCGACAGACCCTCCTCACCCAAATCATTTCGCTGTTTTGCCAATCTTTCTTCTTCCTAAAATCGGTGAAACTTTCATAATTTCACTCCAAAAAGAATTTCTCAATAAACAAATTCTGTTCAACAATAATTTCATTCATGCTTAATAATGTTCAAAATCAGTGAAATTCTTTCATGTAGTTGCTTAAATATGAAAACCAAAAAAAAAAGATTACAATCGCAGTGTATTCTTCGACTTTCTCTTTCGATGGTTTACCAACAACGCAAACGCAACGATCGTTCAGATACGCTCGGACAAGATCACTCCAATACGATGACGATTCATTTTTGAGTCTTAAATTCATATTTTTCACTGATTCTTTTCTTCATATTGCAATGAAAAATTCAGTAACATTCCAGTATTATTTGATCTATCGAATATATTACAAATTGTCAATATTCATTCGAATTCAGACAAGAAATTCGTGAATATTTTCGAAAACAACGAAGGTTTCAGTGTTTCACAACGATGAATGAATGAACAACAAACAGAAGAATTAACAAATGAACCGAACAAACCTCCGCAACATACCAACTTCATCAATTCGTTCAGCTAATTGCTCTTCATCACTACCGTACAGCTGATGTCCAATCATCAAATCGAATACTTTGTCATGACCCGATGTTTCCATCTGAAATTTATGCAACTATCATAACATAAAGCACTTCACAAATGGCAAGATCAGTGCTCTCGATGACCACTCAACTGGAACAATTAAGCGCTGAACGAATGCAAACACTACCCACCTTCAGATACGACTTCAAAATTGATTGTTCAATAATGAAACCGAGTCGTTCCATATCGAACTTCTCTGCATCCAAATGTTCCACAATTGTCTTATCGAACAATCTGAACGTCTTAACAATTTGAAACAAATAACGGAGCAGCAAAAAAACGAGAAGCAACAACGTGAATGAATAATGAAATTTTCAGATGAATGAGATGAACACTCACATAAAATGGAATAAACAATTTCCCATCGAACCGAAGTTCACTATTTTTCAACAACACATTCGTCTCTAATCAACACGATCGAATCTCATCGAAAAGACTGCGGCTTTCCAATGCGATATGAATTGTCCAAACAACTTTTGATATTGTATTCTAGCACAACTAATTGTAATTGTGAAATTAAAGTTCGAATTTTTCACACGTTAACAAATCGATAACTCCACAAACCTTTTCTTAATATCTTCTAATTTTTCAATCGGAACACCAGCGAATGATATAACGATTTCGGATGTACTCTGTTCGGATAACGAAAAATACACCGAACTTGCGAATGGATCTTCCATTTGAATGAAGTCTTTTTGCAACGGTGCCACTGCCGTATTTTCCATATAATCGAATAACACTTCCAGTGCTTTCGTCGTATACAAATCCTATCGTAATTAGAATATATACATTGAGATTTTGAAATAATCATTGGTAAAAGAAATAAGTTTCAAACGAAATTGAATACAACGATAACAATTACAATAATAGCAGAAGTTGCAGTAATAAAAATACTAATAATTTTAAAAATACCGAAGCAGTTGGCCCCATCCACGAAATAGAGACAATTCCACGTTGCTCATCATCTGATGGGCATTCAATAGATGCCTCACGACATTCATCTATTTTCGGTATTTCGTCTTGAAATGGTCTCTCAAAAGATTTCGGTATCCTATCCAGTAAATTCTCTTCTGAAAATTCAACATTCACTTAAAACTGGAAAACGTAAAATGGCATTGGTTCATGCTTATCCACAATTGCTATTCAGTGTTGTTCAAGAACACAATCTGATTGTAAATATCAAATAAAAATAATAATCCACCTTCAGCTAATATCATATAACTAAATTCAATTGTGAAACAATGCCTTTGGAACAGCTCTTCTATCATTACTCAAAACAGCACACCTCATGGTTTATCATATCATAACTTTTGCTGAATGAAATGATGGAACTGAATAGAATGGATAAAAGTGAGCAAAATAAAAGATCTAAAATGAATGAATGAACTGACCAACACCAGAGACTGTATCGAGTAGTTTTTGGTGATCAATTATTCCACAAACAACAATCATCATATTGCTTAAGTGATAGAATTTTGAGTGAAACTCGCGGACTTTATCGTTACAACAAGAGCTACGCAGATTCGGTAGACGACCACCGGTTTCAACACGATACGAACATCCTGCAATCATTCTCTTAAAGCGTAAATGAGAGCAATCAAATTCATAAATATAACAACTAAGTGAATATACAATAGAAATTCACACTGACGACCAATAAATAAATCAAATCTGAATGAGAATTTTCGAAACTGAAAAAAAAAGCAGAACAATAATTCTGAATGAATAACCTTCGGGATAGAAGAGTTCCTTGCGATGTCTCGATACGATCTCCTGCATGTCAGACTCATGATCTTGCATCTCACTGTACACAACACCCGCATCTTCACCATTACCATTGATGTGGTGCACTTCGGTTATATATTGTTCATTCTTTAAGGGATATTCTTTAGGCAAATATTAGAACAAAGCAAAACAAAGAACACAAATATCTCAAAAGGCAGAAATTTTTCTTTTCCCTTCCCTTAAATTCTCGAATTCAGTCATTCAGTCAATTTCACTTATTTGTTTCTCTGGAATCATTGTATATGATGAAGCGAGTCTCACCTTGTTGTCATCACTTTATTTCATTTATTATTATTATATTATTATTATTACATTATTATTATCATTATTATTACTGTTATTATCGTTATTATTATTATTATTATTATTATTATTATTACCATTATTATTGTCATTATTATTATTATCATTATTATTATTGTTGTTGTTATTATTATTATCATTATTATTATTGTTACTATTATTATGCTTATTATTACGATTATTATTATTATCCAGAAAGCGAACCGTTAGCGTTGGCCGTAGAACATGGTCCATGTAGACGGGTAGTACTTTCAAGAAGCCCGTGCTGCCTACGGTACTCAACGTATAGGCAGTATGATCCTGATCGGTCCATGCATTAGTGCCCGATGCAAGACAACGATTCGCTATTATATCCAGCACTCCTTTGTACGGATACTTCTCACTACCCATAAACACCAAATGCTCGAGTGTGTGTGGTAATCCATCGTCTGTGTTCGTTTCGGTCGCTGAATAATTATAATAATCGTTATTATAATTTATAACAATTAATCATTTAATCATAATCTATCGTTAATCACAATTGTAATTAATTGTTAATTACCGTAATCTACCGTAATAGTAACTTATCATACCGTAATTTATCGTAATTTAATCGTAATCGTTACTGATCATAACCGTATGCCTCGTCAGTTTAGCGATACGATAAGATGGCTTCATCATAAGTAAATGGTTGCAGAGGAACGAATTCCAGTGAAATTGACTGAATGAATTTGAGAACTTAAGCAAAGAAAAACACAAAAATTTGCTTGCAATTAATGAAAAACTAACGAACCAAATGAGATAACGCATTTGACCATTGGTCCAGGCACATCGGCCACAACCACCCTCAATTTGGATCTAGTTGAATGGTAGACAATCAACGGTATCTCACCGTTCACCTTCAACTGAGCACCACACGACCACAAACGTTGTGCTGTTCTCAGTAACGACATTGTCCTCCTTGTCTGCAAATGCACTGAATGCATTAGTAGTATATCGCTCGTTCAATTCAATACAATTTACGTCGCATTCAAACACCGAATTCTGCCTCATCACACATTATTTATCAGCTCTAAAAGCGATTCGCAATGTGAACAATATGCATCCATCATTATTATGTTAGCACAATCGCGCGCATGAAAAGAATGCAATTCCCTCATGACTCAGTTTTTGGAAGTAAGTGATCAGACATGGAATTGCAGCAATACCGTATCCTTCGTTAAGAAAAGAGCTCGGTAGATAAGCTAAAATGGTTTCTGGTGTGAAAAGCGGTACTTTCCAGCGTACCGAAAGGTTGTTGAGCTTAAGGCCTTAAGGCCTGGGCCATATAAAGGTGCAGACATAAATTTCACTCGATAATTCCTCTGACAATTAGCAAATGTGTTGAATGAATGAAATATTCACTAGCACTCACACTGCAACAACAGTGACAATATCGTTTCTGAATACCACCTTTAGATTCACTCGATTCACCGTTATTAGCGTGATTCGAATCGACTTGGCTACTCTCAGGTGATCCCATTATTATAATTTTTCAATGAGTTGATGGAATTCAATAGAAACGTAATCAATTTAAACGACAACAATCTATTACAACAATCAATTCAACACAATATATTTTGCAAACTGCTAATGAAACATAAGCGGTTGATAATTTGCATATCGCATTTGATGAAGAATACGTTGAATTTGAATAAATTATTCTTCGATTCATCGTAACATGAGTTGTATCCTATCAAACCCTTCACGTTCATTATTCACAAGCTATCCAAACCTACAACAAGTTTTATGCCCTCAGCGAAAATAGTCGGACATGCCACAGTGTGTCGGATGCGCCACAAAGCTTTCAGTTGTTTTTTTTAGATTTTTCCTTAATCGAATTGAACCAGACCACTGCTCAAGTTCGCTTGAATCTCAGTTGATTGTGAACTCTAGTTGGAGTCGTCTTTATGTAGCGCTGATCCACTTTGTTGTATATTATGTTCAGAATCTTCCAGTTATCAATCATTTTCCCAATACACATCAAAATCATTTCACAACTCATTCATTCATTTCTATCAAATCGAATAAGTGAATTAAATTGAATGATTAAATAACTCGTTGAATAATTGCAAAATTTTTTATTTACATTTTTTATTTATTTACATTTTGCAAAATTTACATTTTCACAATTGAATAATTAAGCCGCTCCTTGAACAGTTCCAACCTGAACCACTTAAGCAACATCATGAACTCGTATTAAACAACTCAGCATTTATATTTACACCTTAAACATTACAGCACGTTGACGTCGGTATTTATAGACCTTATTTTGAATGAAGCTCCTTACAACCTCAAAACGTACATTCACCATAACAATGAACGTCATTTCTATGAATCATTATCATGACGTGTTCAATCGTTATCATGAAGTGTTCGATTAGATATTGAAAAAATCCATTGTATACTTTTTTTCGAGTAGAGCGGATGGAAATACGTTGAATGAAACCGTCAGGAGTGGATATTATTACTCAATGTCAACTTCCTCATAATATTTGTTCAGCATTGAACAACAAGAAAAAAGTAGACATTCTCACTGAATTTTTGAATCCATCGAGTTATTGGCTTCTTAATGATAAAATGTTTCAGGTGAATCATTCGGCATGAATGGACCACATTTATTATGTATTAGTCAAATATACCTGTTAATAAGCGTCATCATTGTTACAATTCTTGTGAATAATAGTTCAAGTAAATTAGACGCGCCTTCTGATAAACACCATCATCACGCTGTGCCTACCGGTTCAGTCTCGAATGGATCCGCTAAGAATGAACACATCGACGATGTCGAAAACCATGTGAAATTTTGTAAGTTCCACAGAGTTTCTCATCGAGTGGAAATTTTCATTCTTAAAAAATTTTCGCTCTCAAGTGAATGACTTTGATGAGATCATTTTAATATAATGAAGATTATTTAACATTTTAATATATATATTATTTAACATTAATATATTATTATTTAACATTATTTAACATTATACATTTTAATATATATCATTTAACACTTAACATTTTAATATATAATTAAGATTAATATAATTTATTATAATTTGCAATAACTACTTTATTAATGTGAAATCTTATGAATTTCAGACAAGAATGCGTTCAAAGTGAAACGAAGAGAACAACTGAATGCAATTAAATCGGTTTTATCCATTGATAATACCAAAAAACGTAATACTCTTGTTTCGGATCTTATAAGTGGCATGTTCAAGGTTGAGTTGACTTTTGTCGGACCTTCGATTAGCGCTTGAAAATTATGACAGATAACAGAGATTATGAATGAAAAGTGCTCAGACGAGTGATTCGAACGTTATATCACATGCAACTGACTAACAGATCGATCACGAGAGGATTTATGATCAGTGGGCATTTTCGGCATCTTTAGCTACGAGATTGAACTGTCGAATTTCCTTTATCTAGCGCATCCTCTCGATGTCAGGCATATCTTTTATGTGGTATACGTGTTCGAGTGTTTAGTAGCTAAACAATGATGAATTTGATTCAAACGGCTTACAGAATGCTTTATGATAACATCGAATAACGGTGGTGAAAGTTAATTGATTTGCAGGTAATGAACGAAGCGAAAGAGTTGATTGAGCGAAAGAATTATCATGCAAAAGATAAATTCCCATTCGACAATACGGAACTGAAAGAAGCTGTTGCTATTGTGGTTGAAAACATGGCGTTTTTGTGTGAATTTGCCTTGAGATTCCCCTCTATCGTCAATAAAAGGTAGACTTCTGTTGATTATGAAACCGCTGAGAATGGGAATTAGAGTGTGATATCGGAATAGGCTGGAATGAACTCATGGAAATGGGAATGATGATAATGCCATGAATAATTACTATCTTGACGATAATAACGATGACAGTGTATCCATAAGATGGTTTATGGGTATCATGGGCCATCTCCTCTCTGTTCGAATAACAAATTTCCCGATTTGATCTCGAATTTTTCGTTTTGCTCACACTATCGTCCTCTTGACGATTTTTCAGTGCCTTAGTCGAATTTTTCTAAATATTGACGGAAAATGTGGTGAATTCAGGAGAGCAAAATTTTCAGATATTCAACAGATTATAAGTTCAAAACAGTTGTACAGTGGTCTTATCAGTTCAGTGAAGAGACTGATTTATATGATGAGAATTCAATGAAATTGCTGAATTTATGTGGACAACAACTCAATTTCATTCCGAGGTATAATATACCGAACTTTGAGTCAATGATCAATGTGCATTGGTTTCATTCAGTTCACCTTTCATAATTCTGAAAAAAAAACTGCTGATTTTGAATGTAACTCTAATGAATTTTGCTCCATAAAATATTCAGAGTTGGTGAAATTTCCACTATGCAGTGATAGTTGGAATGCGGAATCTGCGTAAGAATGACGGCGATTGTTTGTTTTCAGTTGAATTTTATCGTTTCGCTCATCTATATGAATGATTCTGATTTGATGGTATTCGATGAAGTGGAGTGTTGCTGCATATGAATGAATGAATGAACTTGCAGAGATGAGAATTTCGTGAATCCGTACGATAAGAAGCAAATAAAAGAGGATATCGAGCGAGAGGCTGTCAAGAAAATAGATGAAGCGAGAATGAAGAAAATGGAACAGAAGAAATTTGAAAAGCATAAAAAATTGAAGAAACCAACACTGTCAAGAACTGAACTCTAACAGTGAAATGGAAGTGTGAACCTCAAATGAAATTCATCAGTATTTTTATATTGTACGGGTTAATGTCGTCGTCATCTTAATCTTTATCAAATCCACGAGCATTTATCATTCACTTAAAAGAGAATCAATCATTCACTTTTTAAAATTAAAATTTCACTTGCATAATTTTTTCGTCGCAAGGAATTCATTTCATAACCAATCGGAATGTTGCTGTTTTTGTTTGACATTTTTATTACTTATTGTTTTTATTCTGATCACTCACTTGTTCATTTGAGCACATAAAACACTTTTCGTATCATCCTGTTGCTTATTTCTTCAATGGTTCTTTATTCATTTTTGCGTTTATGTGCATTTTCATTCGATTATATCAAAATTTATCTGTGATTATATTGTTAATTGTTGATTTTTGCGTTGTTTGATATTGGCATTAAATCTTCAAATTCTATTCATTCCATCACAAAATCTGCCCAGTCTCATAAAACACTAAAACCTTCAAATTATGTTGTACATCTTGAAATTTCCACAAAAATGATTATATATTATCAGTTCGTAAAAGAACTAAATGATCTCACATTTACGTGTTCAATAGACCTATCAGTGATCAGTAGATCATGACAAGTTTTTGGTTGTTTTTGAGCATTTTTTCGCTTGAGACGATAGATTACTGTAATGGAATTCTAATCAACTTCAGTGATGAAACTGAGTTGTGAACTTTCTAAATTATGCAAATTTCAATAGATTAGAATGTATCATCAGTGTAAGTAAGGATGAATGGGCGATTATAGAGTTCTTCAATAATCCAATAAGTTATTAAAATCTGAGAACATACTAAAAATTCATAATTAAAGGTTTTTTTTGTGAAGTGGTCGTCGTCGTTCTGAGGATGGCTGAATTTCCTGAACTTGGAAAGAATTGTTCGTTAAGGAGCTGTAATCGTTTAGGTATGTTCTAGCACAGAAATTGTCACTATCGTCGCCATTCTCAATGCTATCATCAATATCCAATTGCAGAAATTCACTAATAATATCAAAATTATCAGTTCACTTTCATAATCTCAACTCTTAACTTGTCAACGAAAATGAAAGAACTTATGAAACAATAAACGCCATTTGCAATCTGATACACGTGTCGTTGCGCTAAGTTTGCGTTCGAATTGAGTGCGAGTTTGAATGTTAAAGAAGTTTTTGTTTGAGGTTAATAATCTGTTTTCATGATATTTTAGATTACACACCGTATTTCTGCGAATCATGCAAGCAGTATTACTGGTAAATTTTCATTCGAATTTGTTCACTTAAAGAATCTTTTATCGATAGATAACCATTAAGCAGATGATGCATTCAGAAGAAACTGTACGATAACGTATGACTTCAGTTAATGAATTCAGCTAAATCATTTGATGTTGATTCAAAATGTGATCATGAAATAATACAAAAGTAAAGATTTCATTGAATGTGAGAGTTTTGCTTAAGTAAAATATGAGTGACGCTGAAACCAATAAGAATATGTAAATGAGACAGTAATTATGAATAATTTGAACAGCGGTGCACATCGTTTATCGCACGGGTGCGCGATTGCAACGAAAATGTCAACGATTGCGGGTAGTAATAGGAGTAATACGGCTGAAGGACCGTCATCGATACGGCCGTTTCTGTGCTCGTTGGATGGATGTCACGCAAAAGAATCCGTTCGAATTGAATGCGAGTTCTGCCAAGGAATTTTTTGTTTGAGGTAAATGAATAATCTGTTCGCGTTATGCTCTCCAAGCCGACTCTTTTCCATATGATATACTCAACAAAAAAACAAAATTTATTTATTCATTGGATTTATTGGATTAAGATTTTTGGATTAAGTTATTTGATTTATTTTATTTTATTTTTTATTTTTGGATTTATTATTTTTTTATTTCATTGGATTAAACAACAACAATAATTTGAATGAATATTCACGAACGTGTTTGTGTGCAGTAGTGCAGATGGAGTAATGATGTGGCGATGAATAGAATTATCTTTGCTTGATATCATCCAGTTTTTGAAATAACTTATTATGAAGTGACAGGGCTTAGGTCAAGGTTTCTTCCCTTAATCTTTTTTTTGTCACCTAATCACCGGTTTGGGCACAAAACTGCAGCCAAATCGCTCACTTGCTTACCCGCTCTAGCAATATCTAGTAAACGCTCTGAAGACGGTTTAGAGCAGCAGTGGTTCTCACGTTCGGGTGCTCCATTGACCATTTTGATGATTTGGCAAGCCGCCGCTACCCCCTATCCTTATTGAATATGAAAATCGCATATGCCGTGTTCAGATGACCGTTACGTTCGATCTTATTAGCATGTTCATGATGGTAATCGACATTACCGCGCCTTCTCATTGTGCTGCTTTCCATGCAATCGATTATGATTGCATGAAAGCTATTGTCTATGTCACGCTCATTTCAAATGATTTACATGAATTCTCATTCTTTTCAGACGTGTTGTATTCACTCTCATAGCTATTACATGCGAATACCGTTCTCTTCATGACTTTTTCTCATTCGTTTCGTCTCATTTCACTTCACAGTTCGAATCAACTTCTCATTCTGTAGCATATACTGTTTACTCAATACTTTGACGAGTGTTGACAGCCAAAATCAACAATACAGCAATAAAATATTATTGCTCAACAACGTTAAGCAATCAAATGATCCATTATAGAGTGTATTCGATAGAATGAGAATTTGACTTTGATTGTTGAGTGAAATGAATGAGAAATTAGCAGAAGAGAACAGTTTTGGTGATAAAAGCTATGAGAGCGATTGGAACAGCTCGGAAAAGAATGAGAACTTTGTTAAAACAAACGAAAACGCTGTTAGGCGGCCCGGACTAACGACGGGATATATTCAGCCATCGTCACGCTGATCAACACAAATGTGTTTATGTGGCAAATGCAAACGATGAAAAAGAGAAACGACAAGAATTATGGAATGAAATACAAAAGAAGATTCAATCATCTGATTCATACGTTCGTTCAACAACAGATAAAGCAAATACTACTGCTGGATCCGAAGTGCAAATCAAAAAAGTTGCTTTTTACTTCAGAATCCATTCGTTGTTTCATCAGTGCTTGACTGTTCGATTGAAATTCTCAACAGCACATTAGTTCAGATCCAATATAAGATTTGTTATAAAACACATCAATTTCATTGAATTATAACGCGTTCAAGCATTAATCATTCAGCTTCAGTCACTTTTGAAGGCACCATTGAGTGAAGCTGAGCTGAAACGAAACGATCGGATAGCGGTGATGAAACTGAAGTCGAAAATGAAAACGTGTGAAGTAAGTGATGCTGATAGGTAAACGAGATTACATTATTGTTTGGGGCATATTAATACGAATCTTAATTATGCATTATTTGGAATTATTTTCTTTGCAGCAATTGTGTTTTGTTTATCAGTTATTATTGTTATCGTTATTGTTCTTTTTATTGTTATCATTATTATTGTGGTTATTATCATCTCGTTGATATGATTATGAGTTTCAATTTGAAGGAAACTAAAATTGAAATCAGTGATTCGTTCTACATCCGTGTGTGTTGTTTCCAGATTCCACGATCCGAGCAGATGTTTGTGATCATTCCTAGAGATCAGAGTCGAATTCCAGTGATGATTTCCAAGGTTCCATCTTCACTTTTACGTTAACCACTCTAATGTATTTCCTAAAATGGTCTTTAAATTTGCATCTGATGAATCAATCATCTTATAGATGTGATTATTGCAACTAATTTGATATTGCTTTCCAGCGTTGGACAGTTGGCAAATGTGTTGATAAAATCGCACGCGAGCTAAAAATTCCGACGAACAAAAAATCTGAATCCGAATCAAAAGTAAGCAGTTGCTAAGTTTGGTTGTTTCATAATTGCCTTATCAGACGATCCATAATCAGTTCCGAAAATGAGTAAGCGAGGAGAGGACGAAATAATTGATCATATTCCTCGTTCTTCGAGTGCTAGACTAGCATTCTTGCTTTTTGATCTGCAAGAAACATGGCATTTTCATCTCATTACAATCTCATTAACAATTTACCAATATTATCATTTTGAAAAGTTATCATTATTGTTGTTGTCATTATTATTATCATTATTACTTTCAATATTCTAGCTGTTGAGATTATACAGTGCGGATAGTAGTGACTCAAACGCGCACGCTCTTCCAATGGCAGATATAGTAACGGAACATTTGAGTGATATGCAGACTGTTCTATTGAAACGCGATGAATAATTTATGTGGTTCGAATTTATTCGTTGAAATTGATTTCTGTGTGATGAAAATTGCAAAACTGTTATTTTATTGTTTGATTCATCATAAAATGTAACTTTAAATGCATTCAATTAAATGTTTTATTCAATTACACGTAGAAAGTGTATGATTCCTTTATGATATCGTTGTTGATTTTATTGCGTTATTTGTCTTTTTGAATTATACTTTACAGTGTTTATTCAGTGCAATATTAGGATGAAGAAGTGACTTGTTGTTTGTTCATTAAATCTTCGAACTTAATTTATTGTTACATTGCAGGATATTGATGAATATTTTGAAAATTTACGGTGTTTATGACACAACAGTATTGCAATGAAGCAATTGTGATTCTTTCTTCTTACCTTCCGTTGAACGTTTAAAATTTCATTGATTCGCTCGCAATCAATGTAAATAAATATATGTGAAAATTTGATTGTAATTCATTTGAATTAATCGTAGTGTTGCATAAATCATGAACGTTTCATACTTTAACAGAGAAACAAATCCAAATTGGATTCGGAATGCACCATCTCAATAATGTTTCAATTCGTTTCGTATATTTTGCTCATTAAATGTTTGAATTCAATTTGTCGTTAAAGGAAGTTATATTTAGAAGTCAACGGACCTTGTGCTGAATTTTCGGTTGATTTTATACATGTTTGAAAGGGATTTAACTGAATAACAATTCGATTTCAGTTAAATTCTGTTGTAATATAATGAGTGACTGCATATTTCGACGGAACTTTTGATTACACATTTGGTTGGTGCTATCGAATGCATTATTAATTGGTGATCAATGAAACAATTAAAAATAATTTCCTGTTTACGGTACAAAACACCACTGAACGAGTTATTTGCGATTGCGAAACAGTATCTCTCATCAACGAATTTATCGTTTGATTCATTGTTGACTAAATATAATGAGGCTGTGAAAAACAACGACAACGAAAACGACAGAACATATGCGGATAATAACAATAGCCACGAATTGAAAGAGTGGTTGAGGTGAGAGGATTACACTTTGGTGTCTGTTAGTTCAAGTAGCGATTTCAAGTATTGTCAGCGATTTTGCTAATCCTCTGCAATCGTCATGTTCTAACACATTTTTCACAGTTTGCGTTAATCTTTATACGTATACGTGGTATTTATGTATATATCTGCACTGAACTTATGTGTTATCTTCATGTAAATCGTAAAGAAAGAATGAGACGGTTATGAAATAGCTGAAACATAAATATTTTGGTGTGATAAATCAGCTCAATTCGTGTGGCTCCATTATTCATGACGAATCATAAATTAAAATTACTCATTACAAGTATCTTTCATTATTATTCTCTTCTTAGAAGCAGTCAATGTTATTCCACAGATCTTCAAAATTATCCATCCTCTTAAGCTCCAACTCAGCCATTTATTGAGTGATTGATGTGATTTCATTGTAACTATACAACCTCGTTCATTTATGTGTTCATTTCTAGTGCACCAACAGTTTATTGCGACGGTGCATATGATTGGAATCGAGGCAAAGCTGGAATTGGAGTGTTTTGGGGGCCTGCAGACTCGAGGAATTTAAATCTGTCACTTACGGGCGATAAAGTGACGAACATTCGTGCTGAAATTCAAGCCGTCAATATCGCAATATTACAGGTTATATCCGAGGGTATATTGATTCATATTTATGTCATTCAATGTGAAAATATCCGATAAAAGTATTGCGACGAAATTTCATCGTATTCGCATAAGAGCCTATCAATTGTACATTATCATACTGATTGATATGACCACGTGCTTGATCATTGCCATATCAATTGCTATCGTATTCATTTTATCGACTGTTGATCGTGGAGCGGGATAAGTTTGTTTATCCTGCTGTACATTGATATCCATATCCTATCATCGATATCGATATCTCAATAAACAAATTACAAACAGTGAAAATGGTTCGAATTCAAATGAATACCCCTAATCAGCTTGAATAATTGCAGGCTCATCGTTCAAAACTGAATCGAATCTACGTAAAAACAGATTGCGCCTTTGTCGTTAAAGTGATAAATTTATGGCTGGAGAAATGGCGTTTGAATAGTTGGAAGAAGGCATCTGGAGCAGTGCTTGAGAACGTTGAGGATATCAAACGATTGAGTGATCGACTGAATTTAGTAAAGGTTTCTTCTGGAATTTATCATCACTGATGTTTGAGATAATTTCAACTTTTCAATAAATATGGTTGAATGTGAACTGTGCATATGGAGTGCGGTTGTGAAATGAATTTAAGGTACGCATCGAGCATATATATGGACACCAGAAGGTGGATGTGAAGAAGCTGATGGCCCATAAAGACCAGATTGCTTGGAGAAAACTGACGAGTGAAGAACGAGATGCGTTGGGTAATCATGAAAGTGATCGACTTGCCCAACTGGGTATTGATCAACCGATGATGAGCGATACTGACTTCGAGTCTTTGGCTGGTGCAGTTGAGAGTGCATCATGAAATATCAGGCCATGAGTGTAATATGCTGACCGAGTGCGTTTACGATGCTATTGAATGTGTCTTACGATAAAGCTGCTATTCAGTTTCTGATGATTTCCTAGCTGATTCTATTCACGGTTGAGTACTTCATAGAAAAGTACTGTATGGAACAGACAGTATTTATGTATCAATGTTTTCAACCATTCATCTAGCAAGAAACCTCAAAATTTGTGCCAAAAATGGATGAGCCTCCAAAATGCATAATTTTCGACAGAAATAAAGTTAATATAAGTTTTTCCATTGCTGTTTGGTTGTTGCTGGAGAGTGTGGCATGCCATTGTTACGAGGAAGATTAAGCGATCTTGATCAATCTCAGAAAAATATCCTTGATTTTTGTTGTACTAGTCGTAATCCATTTGATAATGATGCTAGCATGTTTATTTCTGTTTTTTAAAATGAGTATGAAGTTGAAGTTGCGATATTTTATTGTATAGAAGAAGTGCATCGTTCGTCAACGAATGATTTTCATTCGATTACTATAATATTTATGAATTGATATGTAGTA